ACTAATAAAATCATTGATCTAGTCCTTATCTTAATCTGTTTAAATGTCACCTGAAGAGCTTGAATTTATAGGATGGGAGATTTTATCCATGGGACAAGGGAGGTGGTTGGGAGTTTTCTTTCCCCAGGACAACTTCTTCATTCCTTAGTGGACTATGAAATGAGTTGCTATGTCCAAGAAAGTTCTTTGCTTGTTGGCCAACCTTGTGGTGATGAGCTTATGTGAATTTATTTAGGTTGGCCCTGTTAAGATAGTCACCAGGACTTCCCTGCTCAAGAACTTCCCAGGTTAGTAGGACTTCCTAAAAGTATGTGATCCATGATCATAAGCTTCCAGAACCCAGGGTTCTCTCTCTTCCATAAGGCATTGGGTGAGGATTTTAATGAAGGCTTGTAGAAGTTCTCTGATCAATTTGAAGCATTTACAATCAATCTTATTGACCCATGGATTCAGAGCTGGGAGGGATCTTGGGGAACATTTAGCTTAATTTCATTTTAAATTTCTATTGATTTTCACAAGCAAGAAAAAATGTTGTTCAGTAATTTTTTTCAGTCATGTCTGACACTTTGTGACCTCATTTGGGGTTTTCTTGGCAAAGATACTGGAGTGGTTTGCCATCTCCTTCTCCAGTTCATTTTACAGATGAGCAAACTGAGGCAAACAGGGTTACGTGACTTGCCCAGGGTCACACAGCTATTAGTCTGAAAAATACTTATTTAATCACAGTCATAACTAAAACAGGGTGATAGGGGCTTTGCCCCAGGCCCAGGTCATTGAAATTTAGAATGCCAATGGTACCATCCTGTGCATATTTCTTCCCCCAAGAAGTTACACATCCCAGGTGAGTCCATTCCTTTGAGGCTCCTTTTTTTTTTTAACTTCATCCTAGAGTATGGCTCCTTCCCCTAGTCACTGTATTCCAGGTCCCCACTTACCTCCATTCCAGTAGTAGCTTTAGAAATTTAAGTATAGTTCTCTCCTTATATTTTATGCACTCCAGATAAAATATCCTCCTTGTATTCTGCCCCCTTCCCCCTTCCTTACCTACTCTTGCCCTACTCGAAAAATTCCAAGTTACAGCTCTGCCTTTAATGTTCAGCTTATGAATAATAAAGTTTATTTGCTTTAATGACTGAGACAGCTAGAAAATGTACTAAACTGACCTCATCACAAAATGCAACAGCAAAATCACCTATAGGTTATACAGTGTCTGGGGATATTGGGATACAATTGGGAATACGATAGCTGTGAATTCATTTTGTTTCAGGTCTACTTGGCCGGACTCAGTAAACTAATTCCAAAAAGCAACTTTCAGAGACCCATTAATATTTAAAATGTCTTTTAGCCTCTTTTTTTTTCCCCTAAAGGAAACAAATCTACAATTCTACTTTTTAGCTGGGAACACACTGGCATTGATGGCAGAGTTTAGAATAGAATTCTTCCAGACCTTTCTGTTTGTGACAGTGTTACCAGGAGTCTCGGAAAGAAATTTCAGTTGAGTCCACAAGGTTTTTGTCTAAGGCTCAAAGTAAGTAAATTCAATGGTTTTGCTACTTTCTTTTGTATTTGATTGGGGGATGGGTGTATGTGTGTGTTGGAAGGTCTTGGTAAAGAAATGGAAGAATTTCTTTTTTTGGGGGGTGGGGCAAAGTTTTACTCTCTTTTTTTTTCAAGTGATCTTTTTTTAATGTCACAAAAACTTCTAGTTGTCAAAAGGAGAAACATATTATACAGTCTTCATTTGGTTAGTACTTTGTAATTTTTAAAATCTTTTTCTCTTTTCTAAAGGTATGCCTATATGAGCTAGGCAGGAGGCTTGCAGAAAAAAGTGAAAAGAAGGCATCCCTGGGAAGATGGCTGAGCCCGAAGGTCCTTTCCAACTTGCATTTTCTGGTTCGGTGACTAGAGGAGGCCCCTTAGTTTTACAGAAAGAACATTCCCCAAGCTATGAAGGGTCAACCCCTATGTGCCTAGAAAGTGCTAGTCACTGCTGGGGGTGAGGGGAGGAGAAGGAGTGCTATAAAAGAACAACATAGGGGTCCCCCGCCCTCCAGGAATTTATAACATAGTTGAAAAGACTTTGTCAGCTGTAAAGCACTACATAAATGTAAGGTGATCTTATTAGTTGGAGATAGAAGATATAAAAAATTAAGCAGCAAAACAAGAATAAAGTAACAGGATCCAAATGGGAGAGATGCCATAAGGTTGGGTTTGGATTAAGTG